ATGGATGCGGCTGCAAACTTGCTTGTCAAGTAAAGAAAAGAAGAGGGATTGCTTTTAGAGAAATCTGTTCCCTGAACCCAAACCCTACACAGACACCGGGTTGTACTGAAAGAGGTTGGGAACCTGCACTGTGAGATGGAGTGGAAAACTGAACCATGTCTTTGGACATAGCCTGCATTTAGGTCAGGATAAAGCAATTGTATGCTGAGACCTAAGGATAGCAAAGCACATATTCCCTGTTTTTAAGACCCAGCTGTCCATGTCTCTACTAGAATGGTTGTAGATTCTGTCCTAGAGGCCGTGGATGTATGCAGTGACCACTGGAATTCCCAGCAGCAATTTTCTGCAATTCCCCCAGTGAGATGAATACCAGCCCTTTCACAGCTGTAAATCTGTTCACCTGTGTTAACTCTACTGTAGCTAAATCATGTATAAGGTCTGAAAATAGACCTGAGGCTCCAGTCTTGCCTCGTGCACAACAAAGGCAACATGAAGAAACCACGTGAACTCGGCAGACTTCAAACAGCTGTATTTGTAGGCTATATAAAGGAGACCAGGACCTGTTACCAATACATGCAACTTGCTCTAAACACAGCATCACAAGATGTCCCAGAGATTTTTAAAGAGGAATGCCCATTCCCGTGCCTGCCATTGGCCCCAGAAAAGTCTGCACACCTCATGTCCACGTGGCAGAAGAAATGCTTTGCCTGGGTCCTCTGTGTCTGCAAGTGAGGGGGCAGGATTTGCATAGAGAGCATCACCTATGTTTTGAAATGAAGTCGTTCCGTGAAGTTTTGGGAGGCTCTTTAGTTGCATGAAGTCTGGTATTGTACTAATCCCATACTGGTCCTGTCTTTCCTCACCCTCTTCCTCCACCGCCTTTGCAAGATGCTGCGGATGGGGTGGCTGACCACGGATAGAGAGAAAATTAAATGGCTTTGCAAATTCTCCTCCTTTTCCTCCTCCTCCTCTGATTCACATCCTTGTAAAAGGAAAGTGTGAGAAATGTTGGGTGGCACCTAGAGGGGTTCTGAACTTCCTCCTTTATGAAGAGGCTGGCTTGATCTCCATTGAAATAGCAGGTGGTACGGGCACCCAAAATGAAAGTCACTCAAGGAAGTTATGCAGATCTCTGTTCCCTCCTGTAGGCTCCATGGGATATGAGGAAACATGGGGCAGAGACAGGGACTCCAGCCATCACTGTTGGTGTTCAGTGTTGGTCTTGAAATCTGCAGGAAACCCCTGAGGTGTGTTGAGTTATGCTCATGTGCAGGTCTCTACAAGCTATATAAACAGATCTTTGCAGGGTCAGGACATGCCTTTTTGGCTGGGAGATGCATTTCAATGGGTGAAGGAAAGTTCATACCCTTCAGCTATAATTCCCAGTTCCTTTCCCTCTTGGTGGTGCTGATCCTCAGATTATAAACTCATTTTGCATACAGTTTTGCCTCAAAAAGAGGAGGGACCTGGAAATATTCCCTCTGACCTCTAGAAAATGAGAGTTTGAAGACATTAGGAAAGCAGCATCTCAAATCCAGAAATACTTCCCTTCCCCTTTCAGTTGGCCCTCATTCAATAAATTGCCATCTTTACTGCATCATGTATGCATCCATTTTCATTCAGCGAAGCACAAAAGTATAAATCCCACTAAAGGCAGCTGTCCTCAATGTTCCTCTGACTAGGAGCAGGAACTCATTCCTTCCTCTCTCCTTAACCACGATTGATTAAGGATATTAAGGAGTTTACTACTTCCATACCATTGGGAGTGATTTCCATATGTTGCATTATTCTCCAAAGTGGGCAAAGCTCCCCTGTGCCAGAGAAGCAGGGTGCAGTATTGCTGAACCCAATTTACACTGTATTTAGTGTTTTATTGGGGGAGAGGTTGCAGGTGGCCCTTTATAGCAAGATGCATTTCATCCTTAGTTTTCAGATAACTTATAGTATCCTTTTCACTGGGAAATTAAGCTGACACTCGCCATATCCATTGCAGCTGCTTTGAGTGTTGAATTAAACTGCTGCTATTATAGTGAGCCTTTGCTGGAGCTGAGTTGTGTTGTTCCTTAATCATTTATGGCTGTGGATGCAAGCCAAGTAGCAGTCCTGTAGCAACAAATGCTGGAGATATGACCTGGAAAACAGATGTTTGGGTCAAAGCCAACGTGGTTTCAGGAAAGACAGTGAGAAAGAAGCAGGAAACCAGTTCTCTCTCTGATTTATTGGACAGGGGGAATAAATTCCCCCCAAGGCAGAGTCCTCACACAAGGCTGGTACCACAATAAACTCTGATTCTAGCTAGCTTTTAGCCAGCCTTTGGAAGGCTTATATGGGCAGCTGTTGATTTGCTAGTGCTAACACTAGGTGTGCCAAGCCTACATGCTTTGTATTCTTGCCTGTTTGCTGGTGGCTGCAGAACATCTCACACAATAGACTGGTTTATGTGAAGTTCTAGCATAAGTCTTTTAGATCTGATACAATGCAGGGGATTTTTTTGAAATTTAATGGCTTGAGGAATCTGATCAAAACTAAATCCCTACAGTGGAGGTGCTCTGTGTGAACAGATCATCTTCAAGCATTCCCCTTTGCTCTGAAAGGAGAGAAACAGGTTCATCACATGCTAATGGTGGGGTCTGAAATGGGTCCATCTCATGATCTAAGGGTGCCAGTTTCTCTCTGTTCCTCTCTCAGGAGCCCAGGTAACTGCCTCACAGGAAGATGTAGATGCTGTATACATCTAGGATTAGGTGAGATCTGTCCCACCCATGTTTTCACAGAATTTGGTTGAGCTTGGAAGGGAGCTCTGGAGGTGATCTTGTCCAACTCTCCTGCTCAAGCAGGAACACCTGGAGCCAGTTGCCCAGGGACATGTCTAGATTGCTTTTGAGTATCTCCAAGGACGGAGACTCCACAACCTTCCTGGGTTACCTATTCATGAAGTGCTTGATTGCACAGAGCCAAAATTAAGTATCGCACTGGAGGGGAGGGTCCGGGTGTCCACCATTTAAGACTAAGAAAAGTTTTAAATGTCACTGTCTAGGGAGCAGATGCACAGATCTGAACAAGTACCTTGTAGCACAGCCAACCAGTGATATTTGGAGCAGTGATGAGAGTATTTACAAAGACAAGATGCATTCACAGTTTTAACGATGTTGTAACACATTGATTTCATTGAAATATGATGAATGCCAGGTTCAAACTTTCAGCCCTAATTTTGTTTCTTTAGTACTTGAGCCAATAGTGTTACTACATTATAGTGCTGAGGAGTCATCAAAAAAACTTTGGCTTCCTTTAGCAACAGTCGTGTTCTTAGATGCCCGACATGTTGACTAGTAATTCTGGCTAGCACTGTCAGTTTTTAAAGGTAGGTTTTGAAAGTCATGGTAAGGGAGTGCTTACAGCCCTCCCTGCACTTCCTCCTGCTCCTATCCGTGGAACAATAGATTCTTAAAGCCAAGGGTGTGGGAACTGAGGATTTGGAAGAAGATACATGACCTTCTCTTGCCCACCAGTCACAAGAAGTGTTAGTGGAGTATGGCAGAGGCAGAGAGAACACATCTCCGTTCACACAAAGAAGCATGATGCAGATGTTTGGAATCTTGGCCTTAGGCTTTGGCTCTTGTTAGCTTTCCACACTGAATCTACATTGTGCAGACAGAACATGCAACTACTTGGATTTCCCTTTTGCTGTCAGAGACCCTTTGATTTTTTTCTGTTGTCTTTAAACTAAGTAGGCTTCTTATTTTTTTGAAACAAAGGAAATGGTTAAATAATTGCATCACAGGGGGGAAATATATATATACATATATTTCTACCTTTTAAAGAGATTTTTTCCTACTTAATTTGATCAGATTTCTCTGCTTCTGTCAGTCCAGGCAGAAATTTTAGCCTTTTTGTGCCATGGACCTCTCATAACCATTCACTGTGCTATTGTGCAGTGCCACAAATGCCCCTTCTTACAGAGATACCTGTACTTGAATATCTAAACGCAAGTGGGTTTCCAGAGCAAGTTCATCAGGCACTTGGCTAATGTGTTTCTGAAACACCCTTCAGAGAGATGCTGCCCTCACCCAGAGGAGAACAGGATCATCCTAATCTTCTGCATCCAGCTCCAGGTGATGCTTTGCCTTCCCCACCAGCTTCTGTAACACCATGAAAGTGCTGATGTTTTTCCCAGTTGAGGGCAATGCTACATGCAGAGGTCCTTGGACTGTCTTCAGAGGAGGTCTGATAGCTGCTGGTGGCCTATGATCTATACATTCCTAGGGACACATAGTAGACACGAGTCACAGGATTTTTTTCTCTCTTTCCGTCCTATTCTGTCTTCCCCAGAAACCTGATGGTTTTCTTCTCTTTGAAGCTCAGTATCCAAGAGGGTTTATGAGTCTTTGCTGTTTTCCTGAAAACTCAGCCCAGTTGCCAGCTAACCTACCCAGGAGCCCAAATGGGAAGGAGAGTCTGCCTATGCTGTCCATTGTATAGGTTGGCCTTAAGTAGGGTAACAGATTTAGGGAAACCTCCTGGGAAGCCTCCGCTGCCGAAATCTCTATCAGAGAATAACTGCAGTTGGCTGCACGGGCCATCTCTTTGCCAAAGTGTCAGAAAGTGTTGCAGTGTGAGTGCTCAGTACCTGTGAATATTTGGGCCAGAATAGTTAGTGTTTCAGTCCCAGTGCTAACTGTAGTTGTTTGTCTTCCTTCTCTGTAACAGGAAGAAGGAGAAGATCTCACCATATCCAGGACACAAGCAAAATAACAACTTGCTGGGACCTGGCCACGCACTAACAGAAAGTTGTTCTGAGTTTTGCTGTCACCCTAGACTTTTGCACAAGGGGCTGATGGAAACCCATCGCTCCACACTGCTGGGTAAGAGAGAAGACACTCGAGGCTATGTATTGGTTTCTCAAGTTGTCCTCTCTCCTTGATGGTCTTGCCTCCTGTCTCCTTGAACAGACAATCCAAGTTTTAAAGTCAGCCCAGCCAGAGGAGCAGTTATCCTCATTCTATCAGCAGAGAAAATCCTTTTCATGTTGTCTGCAACTGTGATGAAAAAAGAATCCCCTCTTGCCAGAGACTGAACTTGTCTGTCAGGAAAATACCATTTACAGGTAAGACAATGCCATTCCCAGCAAAGAATCTGGCTCTTCTTCCGTGTAAGGCTAGAGAAGCTGCCCTTGGGATAGAGAATTTTGGGTGCAAAAAGAAGAGACTTGGGCTGCATCCCACACCACAAGTCATTCAACTTTTTGCTGTTGTAGTTGAACAATATATTGTTGTCAGTACATTTGACAAGTAACAGCTGGTGATAGGACTCATGTCTTTTAACTTTGGTGGTCCAAGTCATAGATATCTGCAGCTAAATTCAAAGTGCCTCTTGCTCCCCATTGACTAGAAGAGGACCCAGGAATGACAAGTTCAGAGGTTGACACAAAAGTTGGGTGATAAATGCCAGTCCTTGAGCCCAGGTGGGCACCAGCTACAGCAGTTAATAATTTCTGGTTTCACTAAATCTTCTTTCTGGAAACTCTGAAAGAGTCTACAGAGAAGACCAACCCAAAGGCTTTGTTGTGTTTCCTGGCATCTTGATTCTATATGTTTTTGTTTTCAACTGCTTAAAATTATCCTGAGATATTTTTTTTTTCTCCACTCTCTACACAGTGTGGTTCATATGAGCTGTATTTTCTCTTTATAGCTTCACGTATGAATATGGGTCAGCACCCAGGCAGTTGAATGCCCGAGATCATTTCCATACTGTCTATAAATAGTATGCAGTTATTTCACGGTTTCATGTTCAGTTTGCAGGCTTCCAACAGCCTTGTATTCCCGAAACCCTTTCTATTCTCATAGCCTTCGGGTTCTTGAATGCATGACACAACACAAATTACAGCAAAGGTTATCCCAGCCAAGAAAGTCCCCATTTGGCTTCTGTGTATTGTCATTCTTGTTCCTGACAGCTGGCGTCAATTCATCAGTACTCAAAGCTGCTGTTGCGGGTCTTTCCAGCTCTGCGATGAGTTCAGCTACGCAGTTAAGCTGACAGCTGAGTTACGCTACCTTACACACGTTAGGCAGCGCTTGGTCAGTCCGTCATCTTGCTAGACAGTGGAGGAAGTCAGAGAGCCTCCAGTTGGATGGATAACTAACGGCCAGCGTACCCCTGTCTGACAGAGATAACGGGCTGGTTAAAACCAAGGGAATTTTTAGACTCTTCCCAAATATCGCCTGTCTTTTGTTTGACACAGGACTTGTCATGTCTCCCTTTCTGCGTATTGGTTTATCCAACTATGACAGTGGCCCTTACCTGCCATCCCAGGGGGAGGTGATTAACCCTTACTGTGCTGTGATGGTTAAAGAAGCCGTGGAGTCAGGTAAGTGGGGCGGTGTTAAATATGCGTGTGAGCTTTTATAAGACATGTGTGTGCCTTACTGTGTCATTTCTGGTGTGTAGGAAGCACATTGGTAAATCTTTATAAGGGTTTGTGAAGCGTTTTTTGGGTCTCAGCATAGTGCAAGTTTGGGTTTGGCATGAACTGCAAGACAATCTGATTTTAAGATGGTGCCCAACAAATCTATGTCTTCAATTTGAGGTTATTATCAACTGAATTGCAGGTCCCAGCATGTGACAGAGCAGATGAGATGAGCTGTATTCGGTTTCACTTTTCTATGAGCAGTTGCTGGTTTGTCAGTGGGACTCCAGACAGATAAAATACCCTGGGAGGGCTGTCTTTGTTTATTATATTTTTTTGAGGAACTGACAGTCCCGGCAACTTCCATCATTTAAAAAACCAGCTCTCAAACAGCCCCAGTCTTTGCAGAGAGAGTTAATTTCTCTGCCTAATTGCTGTGCTATGTAAAATGTTTGAAAGTGAAACCTCCTGCTAAGCTGTTTTCTGTGTCTGAATATATGGATTGTTGCACACTTCTCCTGATTGAACAACACTGATGAGTCCTCACTGGGAAAACACTTCTTATATGTCTTATGCATGAAGATAGTCCCAGTGAGAGGATGAAAAGTTCTTCAGTTCTGCTTTTCAAGAATGATGAAGATCAAGACCTTCAGAGTTAGGGAATTCCTCGTATTGGCTGTTATTTATCTTAAAACATCAATAAATTCCTAACTTGACTGCTGTGATTCTATAAAAAAATTAACTCAGAAATCCCTTTTTATACCTTGAGAATCCCCGTAACTCTAATGTCCAGATGATGTTAAAGTAGTTTTTTAAAAAAAAAAAAATAGAATTTTGAAATAATTCAGTGTTTTACTGGGGGTTTTTTCTTTGTTTGTTTGTTCGATTGTTTTTTAAGAGTCAGCATTTATCACATTGAACTTTGGCTTGGCTTAAATGATACTTTAAATGATTATGGAAGATGTGATGACTGGTAAATTCAAAATGAAATAAAATACTGCATGACAAGATATCCCTAAGATCTCACTTTTTACTGAAAATACATCCTATTTCAGCTCTGTTCAGGGCTTGGCTGTTTGTTTTAATGAGGTCTTTGAAAGTCGTAACTCAAATTGAAGTCTCTGTCAGTTCAGAAGTGCATAAAATCAATTTGGTCAGAACAGACCTGTATTTATTTATCTTACACAGAGTGAAAGCATTCTCTGGAATTTAACAAACACAGAAAAGTACTAACTAAGGGATATCATTTTTGTGCTCCTAAGAGTCAATAATAATAGTAATAATAATAATGATAATAGTAATAGTAATAATACTTCTACCAAAAACCAATAAAAAAGCGCATTTGGGGGAACTTTTCTCCAGTAGTGAGGACTGAACATAGGAAAAATTACATCCTGCTATTAGGCGATTTCTCTTTACCGGGGTGTAATTGCATTCATCTAACGATTGCTCGGAGCACGGTGGGGCAGTCAGAGGGACTCCTGGTCATGTCAGTGATAGCAGCAGGGACCTCCTGAGGCTGATCCACCTCAGACTCCCCTCTTAGGGTGGGTTGAACCACGCTTGGGAGGTATTAATCTGCTGTGGGTGGAGGATGTTTACATGTGTAGATGGTTAACTTTACCTTAAGGTGACTAAGACAAGATGAGGTCATGGTGGGATCCGTTTCCCCTATAATTCCAGTCTTCTGCAAGCATATTGATATCTGAGCAAGTCAGCTACCCTTGCATTATAGCCCAGGGGAACAAATGGGAATTTCCGTGGTGGGATTCTTCTCATCTTGAGGAATACATCCATAATGGATCTGATGAATCACGTCCTAGAAAAGCCCAGCGCCCTCCACTGACGCTAAGGACAGTTTAGGCAGTCCACTCAGAGGTACACATCTGACATTCAGTGAGATGACCCCGACTCTAAATGCCACAAATGCTCTCAACATGACCATCCTGAGGAGCTGTCATGCTCAAACAGGCTTAGAGAAGGCAAAAGGCAATCAAGGTCTCAGGACAAACATTAGCTGAATATATTTGAAATAGCTGCATCCCTGCTTTGTAAATTCTTTTGGTCATAGTTTGCTCTCCAGCTCCCTGGTTTCACAAAACACTTGCTACTCAATGGTAATGGGATTAAAAAAAAAATATATTGATGTCCTGTGATATAAATTTTTGCTAAAATGGCATGTCCAAGGAGCAGGAGTGGATCAGCTGCATGGCTGGTAAGAGATGCAAACAACGCTGATTCCCAGCCTTGTGCTCTGACACACTGCCATTAAGATTTCTTCAGGGCAAATGGTTGTTATATACCAGTGAGTGCCAAATGCAGGGCAGGATGTGCCTAAACCCAGAGTTGAATCCAGAAGAAATCCAGTCCCAAACCCGTGCAAGCTCTGTGCTGGAACCGGTTTGGTAGATGATTCTGCTCTGACTTTTACAATGTCTTATTATGGATCAGATATATACTGTGTTTAGCAATAGCAAAGTGTGAGGGTGTGGGTTTGTTTTGTTTTGGTTTGTTTTTTCTTGAAAACAGAGCAGTGGTAGATGATAAATGTATTTGGTTCCCAAAAAAAGGGAGTCTGACTCTGACTTTGGTTTGATGCGAAAGACTGTCCCTTGTCAACCAGCCATGATGAATAAGTCATTGGGACAGAGATTCCCAGGGGTCTGGGAGTAATGCACATCATCTGTGGACACAGCGATGTCACAACAAGGCCACCCTAGAGAATTTCAGAAGCTTAGGAAAGATTTTGGGCAGCCTTTTTGTTTTTTCCGCTTGGTCATTTTGTAAAAGGGGCCCTGATATTTTACAATATAATCTTAAAAAACAAACAAACAAACAAACAAAAAACCCCACACCTCCACACAGTTAGAAGTGTTATAGCAATTTATTACTCATGGCAAAACGTTTCAGAAACCATAGGTGCCTCTGAGGTATAAAAAAATCTACCCTTTAAAAATGGCTTCTGCCTTCACAAGCCATCTGGCCCGGTGCCATTTTACCACCTGTCTTGGTGACATTTGCTTCGTTAAAGATCTCGCTCCGTGTTTGAACTCAACAAGCCTCCAGAAAAAAGTGCTCCCAGCTACAGTGGAAACTGCTGCCCAGGAAAGACAGATGCTATTTTATTTTTCAGGAACCCAGGGTTAGGTTAATCCCTGGCAGAATTCCACAAACGTCAGCGGGGATTCACCGGGGGTGACTGTCTGATCCCCTATAGTGGCCAGTTCATTCACATTCCAGGGTTTGTTTATTTAAGCCTGGTTTTTTGGAGTGCAATGCAAACGAAAGCGCTTGTTTTGCAAGTGCTGTTTCACATCCGTGGAGTTTCACTGCTGTAGCAAAGAAATAATGTTCCTTACTGAGACTTCTGTCCTCTGTGATGTCAGGAAGTTTAAGTCTCATTTTTATGTCTCATTTTGTCTGCTTTTGTTGAAAGAATGTGTTGAATATATATTTGCCAGCGTGATGGGGATGAATGAAGCCTGCAGATAATGAACTAAGTATATGATTGCCTGAATCTGCATACGTAAAAAGTCAACCCCACTTAACTGGTAGAGATGGATTCACCTTAGATTGAGATGATCTAAACTTTGGGGAAACTGAATTTGAGCCTAAAATTTGGCTGCACAACTGCTTGTCATACCAGGCAAGACAAAGTTGAGAAGTAGTTTTAAGCTGCAAGAGTGATCTCCATCAGTTTTGTGAGACAGACCAGTGCTGATGGTCAGAGCGTACTGCAACTTAAACCAAGTTTATGTGATTGAAACAAGTGCAAAACTACTTTGTGTGAGCCAGATGCTGGGTCATGGAATGAGATTTCAGCAAGTCAATATTGGTTGCAGGATCCTGCATGCCTCTTCTCTGGAAGCTACTTTCTCAACCTAAATCTATCTAGTGAGTGTAGTTTAGGTAGTGGCTCTGACGGTCATTTCTCTAGTGTACGTGGCGGTGAAGGGAGATTTTTGTTATAACTGCATAGCCCTGATATGTGCTCTCTCCCCAGTAAACATTCTCTCATTTCCTGAGATGAATATTACACAATCGGGAATGACTGTTTCCTTTTTTCTCCTTCTCTCCTGCCTCCAATAACTTTGGTGCTTGTTTACCAGTTTTAATCCATCCTGAAGGTGTGGTACAAGCTTCAGAAATCCTGGAGTTCCTGCCTGTGTAAATCAAAGCTGAGCAGAGGGAAGAAACCTGAATTAGTCCTCCCATCTAGTGAAAGATGTTCTCCAGCACATGTCATGCTCCAGGCTATCAGCTGCATGTGCTTTTCCAGCTGGGTGAGATGAGGGAAAGGCTGGGATTATTGGAAATAGGAGCAGGGTCTTTAGGAGACAGTAGTCACAGGTCTGCTGCTCGCACGACTGCTTTTTATTCTCTCATTCCTCCAGCTTTGGCATTTGATGGGTTGAAAATTTGCAGAGGGTAACTGTGAAATAGAATTTACCTTGAGTAAGTGTCCAAGCCTTTTACAGGGCTATATGAAATAAAATGAACTGTATAAAATAAATAAAACTGGCTGAGACTCTCTTCAGAGAGAACTAACTAGAGATGACTCTACAAACTAATGCTAAGCCTCAAAGATACTCATTTTTTACCCATCACCATTTTAAGATGTGTTTGTTGTGAAAGAACAGGAATTAACACATAAGGAAGAAGTACAGGAAAAGTTTGCTAGGTTGAAAATTCTGCATCGCTGTGGATGTGGTTGCACGTCTGCATTAACATCCCTGAGTTAGCTGAGATGTAGCAACTAACTGGACATGCACTCCAGCTGAACCTTAGTCATAAAGTGCACCCAGCTTTTTGGGGGACTGAAGAAAACTTGTTTCATTTTGCCATGGGACCGACGATACATGTAGCTGGTTATCTGTGGTGAGATTCACCGGATCATAAGTGGGTATCCATGGTGTAGGAGCCTACAGTTGAGGTCTACTCAGCAGAGTTAATGGAGCCAAGGGTGGAAATTATCTTTCTAAGGTGAATGTCTGTATTTGGTCAAATGAACATACCCTAACTCTATTGGTTTATATTGATTATATTCTCTTCACTGGCTCTCAATGGAACCAATGTTCAGACAGCTCAGATAGGGGCATACACATTGTAGACACCTAAAGTTAAGAGAGGTTAATCCCATTCTAGGTTTCACTTTGCATAGTAACTTCCTAAGACACTCTAACATGGTCTGTTATATGCTGTGCCAGGAGAGAGACCTTGAAGTGAGTAAATAACACAGATCTGTCTCAAGGACTGTAGAGTGGCGGCCTTAGTGCAGATGAAAAGCAAGTTCAGTCAACCCAAACCACTTCTTGTTGACAGAAAACGGCCAAGTGTATGTGCAGAAGAAACCCACCATGTACCCACCCTGGAACAGCACGTTCGATGCCCATATCAACAACGGCAGGGTCATGCACATCGTCGTCAAGGACAAAAGTGCCGAAATGGTTTCAGAGACCACGGTGGAACTCAAGGTGCTGGCAGAAAGGTGCAAAAAGAGCAATGGGAAGACAGAGATATGGGTGAGCATCATTATCTGCTCTTGGAGGATGTGATGGGGAGCTGCTGTGGGGTAAGGGAATGCCTTGTGTCATTACCAGGCTGTGATTGTAATCAGCAGAACAGCAGGAACTGGCTGCCATCCAACGAATAATGTTTTGAGTCTACTTGGGTATGACTTGAAGGAAAGACTTCCATGCATGTCAGAAAACAAGAGCATGGCACATTTATATTACCTGCTGCTGTTATATTGAACGGTATACCCTCTGTTAGCAAGGATTCTGGTTTAGGTGAGCCATGCCCATGTATTAATCCTTGCTTAGGAAACCCACTGGGGACAAATGGTAATGCGAGTGAATTATTTTATGTGCTCTAGGGAAACAGCTGTAAAAATTTAATTTAATGTCAAGTGACTGATTCAGAGCTGCGTAGTTTCAGAATTATGTTGGAGGAACTCCTTTAAAATCACTGGAGTTATAGTGGAGTGAATTTGAAGTAACAGTCTTCATAAGGATGCTAAATGTAAGGTTGTGTGCCATGGTAGACCAAGCAAGAAAGTTCTTGATAATAGCCTTTAACATGGAGTATTCAGTAGCCATGCCATGAATAACAATAAAGTGGGAAGACATTTGAAGAGAAACTGATTTCCTGGAATTTTTTTATTATTATTATTTCTCATGCTAGTTCTCAGGCTAAGCTGCTTGGGTTAAGCAGAGAACAGAAAAGTCAAAGGCCTTGGTCACTTAACAGACCGAAGAGCAAGGTTCAGTAGATGTTTGCACATTTAAGACATAACTTTGAAGGAATTGAGATACTTAGGGACTGAATGGAAAACCAAAAGGCTCTGCTCAGCATGACTCCAATCCCGGGCTTCAAAGCCATGGGAGGCAGTAGCCTGGTGAGGAGGAGAAGGGCCACATAGTCTGGGGTGCTGCTTGCTTGCAGCAAGAGTAACAGACCCGAGGTCAAGTGGAGTTGGGAGACCCTGGTCCTGTTGTGTCCTAGCCTGGTAGCAGCTCCTGAGATCTTCTTTCCACCCACTCCCCAATACAAGTTACAACCTGGGGAGGGTGCTCCCAGATATCTTATCCTGCAAGGGTCATAAGGAGAGAGAATAGCATTTTTCTCACTTTTCTGTGCAAGGGCACTGTTTCACCTGGAAGGCAGAGAGGTAACCTTGCTCAGGCTGCCCTGGAGGTGGGCAGGGAAGGCACTCTTGTGGTTCTCACGCTGAAGAAATCCTTGAATGTAGGTCTTGGATGGATGGAGGTTCAGATAGGTGGGAATTTCCAGGTCCAGTGGGAAGGCCCCAAAAATGCCTGAGTAAGCTTGTAGCATCACTCACATTGACTACAATGGAAGTTAGACTTGCAGAACCAAGTGTCTAAAAGATTTCAGCATCTTTTAAGTACCTGTCTGAAGTTGGCTGTTTTTTTTGAGGTACTCACACTTCCCCCTTGCAGGATCCACTGGGAACAAGAAGTTTTCTCTATAGATAGCACTGGTCCTGATCTGATGTCTAAAAACCTGCCTACAGCTTCTGTGGTTTAGTGACAATTATCTCTTCTGTCATGCTGCTCCAAATGTTCGATAAGACATGATCTAACCTTCTCTCTCTACAGATACTCCTACCTTGCCTTGTTGCCCCACACGGGAATGAGCAACCCAAAAATTAGCGTTCATTGGCATTCATCGATTCCCACTGGGAAAAGCAGATAGCTTGAGTCATCTGAAATGATTGTTGCTTCTTTGAATGACTGTTTAATGATTGCACTGATTTTTTTTTTCTTGTTTTTCATTTATCTCAACCAGCTAGAACTGAAACCTCAAGGGCGAATGCTGATGAATGCAAGATACTTCCTGGAAATAAGTGGCAAGTGCTTTTGCTTGTTAATTGATAGATGTGATTTCTGGTTATGTGGGGCAGACATGGTGTCTTCACTGAAAGCAGTGCCTATGTTATTACTGATTTATTCATAGGAACTATCATAACAGTTTGAAATGAACGCTCCAGAAAAGCAATTTTTATTGTATGGTGGGGATGAAGATGGACTGTTCCTCTGTGATTTGCAAGGCAGGTCTTTTGGCCACTTTACCACTAAAATGGTAGATTTTCTCATTACGCTAAGCAAGACAGAATAGATTCATAAGGAGCCAGCTCCCTTTGAAATCTTTCTACTTGCATGTCCGCATGTAACGTGCTGTGGTGTGCATTATAGTGCTGAGATACAATTTACGCTTGACAACACCTAAATATACTTGTTAGTTGGGCTTTTAAGATCAAGAGCAAACTAGGCAAAACAGGAAAAAAGCCTAGAGAGTGATTCATCTGGTCAAATGCAGGTTTCTGCTGCAAGGTGAGCCGAGACATTGACTGGGCTCCATGGCCTGCTCCAGCTAGACTTCCAGGGGCGTGGACGCAGCTTAGTCACCCCGGAGAGGGGACACACCGTCCTTTGCCTGTCTTCACTGGGAACCAAATCCTACCTGCAAAGTTGAATGTCCATGTGAAATGCATTTTGCTTTGAGAAGAAAATCCAAATACTCAGTCTTATGCTCCTGTCCGATGCCAAAATTCTCACACCTTCAGGTGTGGGGTGAAGCTGTAAGGTGTAGATATCTGAAAGGACCTTCCATTTACAAAAACATAGAAGTACTGAAAGCACCTAATAGCATATCCACACTGATATTTTCTTCATCCATTCCTACCTTTGATATAGAATAGACTATTGCTGCCTCTTTGTATGTTATATCAGAGAGGTCAAAGCATAAAAAACGCAAGCTGTGTTTCTATGACAAATAGCAAGATCAGCATCAGATCACACAGGGGGCCAGTTTCCACAGAATACCTATGTAACTTGCTGTGTAATGCATGAGTAAAACAAAACAGAGGTTGAGAGTGAGATCTGGTGTGCATATCTAGATTTGTGGACACAAGCATGTATATAAGTGCACAGGTGTATATGCATGTGTAGTCAGAATTGGTTTGTTTACTGTTCTAGAAGGTTTAAATGTGAACTGTGAATGGCATGGACGCAGCAAACAGCAAATTGTTGGCATGGAAAAATATCAAGAAAAAGAATATCCTAGGAACATACGTACATGCTTACTCATACACGTACATGCACACGTGAAGGATCCCATTAAATACGCACATATATATGTATACATATGTGTGTTTGTGTGCATATATAGATAATTATTATTTCTTATGTAATTTCATCTTTTATAGGGCGTGGTTCTTCAGTGCTATACAAAGTTAGAATCTTATGTTTAACTGCAAATTATCTTTCCTTGGGAAATTTCTGGTCTACATTTCAAAAGCAGCATTATGAATATTCAAGGGAGCTCAGAATCCCAAGTTTAAAGTCATTTTAGTGTCCTTGTAGGACTGGTAGATAAAAAAATCCAAACAAGCCTTGTGTTGATTTCAGAAAATGATATTTCTTAAAAATATTCATTCCTATTAATGAATCATCAGCTCCATCCACTTAGTATTTTGGCAGCTGCATTTTCTCAGCGCGCCTGATCATGACGGAGTATCCTAATAAATCTGTTTCCTTTCCCCCCAGATGCAAAGGACCTGGCTGACTGTGAGACTGAAGGCTTCTTCTCCTTGCACCAGCGCAGGGGAGCCATCAAACAGGCCAAAATCCATAACGTCAAGTGTCACGAGTTCACAGCCACCTTCTTTCCACAACCCACCTTCTGCTCTGTCTGTCATGAGTTTGTATGGTAAATGAAAATAGATCTATGCTTTTTTCTCCTTTTAACCTTAGGGACCAGTTCTTGTGTAGACATAGCGCTCGCTTAGGGACATAGTTTAGCGGTGAACTTGGCAATGTTATGTTAACGGTTGGATTTAATGGTCTTAATGGTCTTTTCCAACCTAAATGATTCTATGATTCTTTGGTGCTCCTGTGAGTAAGGCAGCAGGATGAGACCCTTGACATCTTACATGTAGAGTTATTGCATCACTTCAAGGATGTGGCTCACAGTTGTAATTCCAACTGTGAAAATTCTTTTCATTTTTTAGTTTATTTCTTATAAATACTTTTGTCTTTGGCCAAATGCACAGACATTTCTCATCAGGTCAGTTTGCTATTTGGATATTGTGAAATTCAGAATGTGAATATGTGCTGAAAAGTCTATGAAAACCACAGAGAATCACTCCACAGTTAGACTGAATGAAAATACTTAAATTAGAGAAGCTCTATAAAGACTGATAAAAAGTAAAGCTGTTTTATTCTGTTTCTTTTATAAATGTTAGTCTCCTTTCTTCTGTCAAGGCTTTCAGACAATTCAGAATTAATCATTTTTCTGTTTATTTCAGGGGTCTGAATAAACAAGGCTATCAATGCAGACGTAAGAAACTTTTTGGATTTTGGTACTATCATTATTTACTTGATCCCTTCTTAAGGAATTTTTTTATCAACACCATGACACACTTGTTCTTTCAGAATGTAATGCTGCCATTCATAAGAAGTGCATTGATAAAGTAATAGCCAAGTGTACAGGATCAGCAATCAATAGCAGAGAAACAATGGTATGTAGTACTTGGCTGCTTTTAAAAAAACTTGAATGTTATCACATCTCTCCTACATCTCTGTAAAACAACTTCTGATGAAGCAAAACGTGCTACTGAAGTAAAGGTTGTGATCTGCTCTGTGCCCTTTGTTTTTTACGTTCCCAGAGGTTTCATTACTTTCTATTTGTCATTTACTCAAATGCAGCAGTTGCTGAATCAGGACTGATGTTTTTCTAATGTATGAAATATAGCTCAGGGGGGAGTCGTGGACATGAGGTGGAAATACATTGGATTAAATTCTTCACGATCCAATCTTAGGCAAAACATCACACTGAATTTTCAGAGCAGTACTGTAACATCCCACTCTGTGTTATGTGAGATTTCCAAGCAGTCAGTGGAAGATCTAGCATCTCCACTATTGTTTGTTTTATTTTTCTCATATCTGTTTATTATAAACCTTCTATTTTGGTAGGCTAAAGTGGAACTTAAACTCTTGATAGGGCTATTCCCTTTTCTTTAATTGTGTCCCACAGCTTCTATTTGCTTCCAGTCCCACCCTGGCTCCTGTTCTCCTTCTACAGTCTTTAGAGATGAGATCCATCTTACTTGTCTTCTGACATCTCCAGGGTAGATGTATCCAACTTTGTCATCACCTTTGACTCCCTATGTACTAAAAGAAGAAAAATAGGCTCTTCCAAGGAGTGACTCATGACAACAAATGTAGACATCCATTTCAGAATGGGATGAATAATTTTGATGTACCACCCACTGTTTTTCCATTTAGCATTCAAGGAGTCTAGGTGCATAGCTGAGATGCAAGCAGCTTTCTGTTCAGACAAATCAAGCCCAGGGATGAAATTAACCCAATTCCCACTGAGTTGCAGTTATTATGTACCAAAATTTGGCTTTGTATATCTGAATGATAGTTATAGATAGTTTCTTCTTGCTGGTCATACCCAAGGACAAAAGGGCAGTAGATATCCCATCTTCTGTAGTACAATTTGATTTTCCATGCAGAGCTGAGGTGGAGAGGAGTGAATTGCCAACACGGCTTTTCTCTTGCAGTTCCATAAAGGGCGGTTCAAGATTGACATGCCTCACCGCTTCAAAGTCTACAACTACAAGAGCCCGACTTTCTGTGAGCACTGTGGCACGCTCCTCTGGGGCCTTGCACGGCAAGGACTAAAGTGTGATGGTGAGTCCCTGATGTACGTGGCATGAGCTGAATGTGGGAGTGGGCTGTTGTCTTTAGAGGGTTGCAATCTGAAGAGCCAAATCTCATTTATCACACTTCCCTACAAGATCTATATCAGATGGCATCTGGGGTGGTGAAGGAGTGGTCAAGGGGACCATCCTTCAAGGAGGATCATTCTTCAAGGAGGATGACAACGGTCAGTATACGGAAAGATATGTTGTCCACAAGGCTGAAGAGTTGCTTCCCAAAGCAGCAAAGAACATCTCAGTGACACTGCTGTTCTTCCAAAATCACTTCTAGTATCAGCTTTCATGCTCTGTTTCCACCATCAGACAGACTCAAGACACTTCACCATCTTCATAATACCATGAGGGAGATCCTGTTCTGTGATTACGGTTTCTCTTTGAGATGATAGACTCTAGAGTTTTGGCAGCCTGTAGCTGCAAAGGCTGATGCATATGGAAATGCAACCTTTTGCCCAGAAGAAGACATAAAAAAACTTGGTCTCCATAGAGGAGCAAAAAATGACCTGAGTGCCATCTCATGAGACATAAATGGTGCCCAGGTTTTGAGCTGTTTACAGGGCTGATCTCTTTCCTTGTCCAACAGCAGCACATGTTGCTGATCAACCTGATGTCAAACCCTCTACAACTTCACTATCCTTTGTTGTTCTGACACCTCTTGTTCCTTCTTTCAGCATGTGGCATGAACGTCCATCACAAGTGCCAGACAAAAGTAGCAAACCTTTGTGGAGTTAACCAGAAACTAATGGCTGAAGCTCTGGCAATGATAGAGAGTACTCAGCAGGTAAATACTTTAAGCCTTGAGTGACCTGGAGAAAGAAGGATCAATTGTTTAATGTTTGTTTCAGTGCAAGAAATAAGGGCATTGAGTGGAGCACTGTGGATAGCAACTTCAAAGTAAAGAATAGGAAATGAGTCCTTCATGGATTGGGTGGTTAAGCTCATCTCAGCACTTTGTGGTGGCCAAAAGTTTTCATGAGTTCAATTGACAATCTTCAGTGTTCATAGAAGAGAAATCCATTCAGAAATAGCAGAATGATTAATTCTGTTAACAGAAAAGCACTGCTGTTGAATTGGGAAATCTCTGAGCTGCTTATTTCTGAAGGTAGGGAGAATATTCTGAGAAGGTTTTGCGTGCCTGCACTCTTCTTGTATCTTTACCTGGTGTCTGCTTGACCTCTGTTGCAGACACGACCTGGATGGACTCGTGCTCTGATTTGGTACAGTTGTAGTTACATTAAGTTCGTAACTGAGCTTGTGTAACAGGATCCAAATCAGAGTGAAAGCAACTTGATTTGGGTCATTTTGCTGTCACTACCTCATTCTGTGCTTGTGACTTAGTAATTTCTCCTCTGAATCTCTGATCTGTTTGGAATGAAACTCCTAGAGCAGGGACTCTCATGAAGAGGCCGGGGCCTTGGGGAGAGGATCTAGATACTACTGTCATATAAACAACATTGTGTGAACACAGAAAATTGAACTAAAAGAAGGAAAAATAGCTTGTCACAAGCCCAAAACCATAAAAGAATTTAGAGATTCTAGTTCAAAATTAGGATTGTTAAGATGCCTCAGCTATTAAGTAACCTCAGAGAGGGACACAATCTGTAGGTGCCTAGTAACCTAATATTTACGGGCAAACACTAGAAACTTTCCCCAAAATATTCTTCTAATCTCCAGATATTTAGGCTTTGGGGACTTCTTGAGCCATAGGTGGAGTCTTAATGTTTAGTAGCCCTTACAGGATTTCTCTTTCATGCTTTTGCCTCATCACCCTTGAATCCAGACAAACTCTTACCTTCTGTAACATTCTGGTGCAAGGAGTTCTTCAGAGTGACACCCAGACACTGTACAGGGATGAGGCTGCAGCATGTTCCAACCACTGCTATTTTTCCCGATTTCTCTTCAAAGAGGACTATTGGGAAGGAAGTTGTTAATTAAAATGCCCTTTGTTTGGATAACCAGGGACTCAGACCCCTGTGCAAAATATGGAATCTCTATATTGGCAGTACAAAGACTTGTTAACAGCCACACACATCTCACACAAGGATGTGAGTTCCTCTGTGTTATCAAACCCCTAAACGTTAGGTACAGAGATGCTCTTCTCATAAATAAAGACCTCTTTGTCGCCATTTAAGGCTGGGACAGCTCTTAAAAC